TTTTAATGCCATTTTATTTCTGAAATATTTTGGACTGTTTATTTCGTGTGTCTTAATTTCTCTAATGTACATTGCCTTGTGTTTTTCATGCTGCTGCAACGCAAACATTTCCCAAATTGGGATCAATAAAGTTCTTGTCTATCTCTCTGTCCGTCCATCTATTTATTTATCCATCCATCCATTTATCCGTCTGTCTATCTGTCTGTCCGTCCATCTATTTATCTATCCATCCATCCATTTATCCGTCTGTGTTATCTATCTGTCTGTCCGTCCATCTATTTATGTATCTATCTATCCATCCATTTATCCGTCTGTCTATCTGTCTATCTAAAAGTTATCATTAATATTCTACCGCTGAATAGTACTAAAACAGGACGACCTTGAATGTAACCACCGATTCTTTCCATTATTAATTGGTCTATAATATATCAGAAAATAGTGAAAAATGTACATCCAAATTCTTCAAAAACAAAGATGGTGTCTTCATGAACCTTTTGATTTCTTAAAACCCGAAGGTATTCACTTTGATATGAAATAAAAGAGAATCAAACGACAGAGAGTTTCATATCTGCGTTACACAATGAAAAGCAGAAAATCAGCTGTAACGAGGAGATGTGACTTAAATGATGAATGTTGATTATTTATGTCTTCAAATCATTTAATCCATGAATTGTTCAATATCCTCTGATCAGGTCTAAATGCATTGAGAGATCTGCAAAGTACAACTGTGGTCAAACATGCTTTTGATAGAAAAATGTGTGTTTTACCCCCCCCCCCCAAAAAAGCTAAAATGGCATTTGTTTCGTGTATACTGTAAGTGTTTATGATAAATAACAAAGAAATATATATATTTGAGAGATTTGACGTTATTGTGATTTAATACTGATTTTCAAACGGACGATAGTCATATATGTGTATTTTCTGAAAGAGACAAACGCCATGCTGAAATGTGAATCCTGCAAACAGCAACACGTTTTGAGTTAAAACAAAAAGTCAGGTGTCCATATGAATATTTAAAAACTGGTTATTCTGGCTGGACGTTAAAGAAAACCTCCTACTAACATTACAGGTGACAGGAACGCATGTTTAAGTCAATATGAAGCAGATTTGAGGCAAATCAAAAGTCACATTAGTGGGAATTTCTCTTTTTTTATCTAAGAAAGAGGGAATTTTGTGCTGAAAAGACTTTAAATAATTCTGAAGCCTCGTGTTCTCTTAACATACATTTAGTTACATATTGTAGCCTAAAATAAAGAGTGATGCGAGAGCAAAGCCCGTTTCCACCCACCTTTCCACCTGCAGGCAGCTAAAGCTAACAAGCTAATAACTTACTCTTCTATCCTGCACAAAGATAGTAGACAGTGTTTGTTTTGGGACGGAGAGGCATCATAACGCTGATAATTAGCTGTCAGTTTCAGTTTTAATCAAATATAGCATCAAAAATAATGTTTCTGTTTGTTTACAGGCAAAGAAAGTATCTGAATACAAAAGCATGTTCACGACTGTGTAAAATACGAATTTCTCCTCTTTTGGATATAGTTTAGTATGAATTAAGACAGAGTAAGATGTCAAATGTACAGACGAGGTTCTTTATTTCAGTTGGATCAGTTCCACAAGGTGTCCTCTGATCTAAATGTTTCCATACTTTAACAAAGAGGAATGGTAGCTGTATTTATTTAGTTTTACACCCCATATAGCTTTTTAGTTTTTCAGTATTGTTATAGAGTTTTTTTCTCCAATTTGCTTCGAATGTTTGAAAGGTAAATAGTTATAACTCTTTCTTGAGTTTAGGTAATTTTACAAAGCTGTAATGTGAATGGGAGATTGTAATCAGCCACTTAATTGAAAAACTAATTGTTAAAATAGAGAATAAAGTAATAAATGTCAGCCCTAATAATGACTTCACGGATCGTCCACAGATCTTCCCCAAAACAAAAGTGTTACAATGTCCAAGAGTTAGACTTTGTTTACTACCAGCTTCCTGTTTACACTTGAGATGTGTAGATAGTAGGGATGGGAACGAATAATCGAATATGAGTTATTAATATCTTTATTGTCATTTTTTTTATGATTCAATGTATACGACAGAGCCATAGCTAAGTGTGTCAGGTCTAAAGGTGTGTTTTGCTCCGCTCACCGGTCCCTCACAGCGGGCAGAGCTGCAGGTTCTGATCCCTCTCTCTCTCGTCCGGTTACACTTCACTCGCGTTTATGTCCAAATCCATCAGATCTAGTTCTAGCCAATGATACGGCTGCTGCCCCTCCCTACACGCAGATCACGCAGACTCAAACCTCATCTTATGCTCAAATCCAGCTGAGAGGGTCTTCTCTACAGCTGGCCTGATTGTGAATCGCCTCCGCACCGCCTCTCCCCTGAGCATTGAGTATTGAATAGCTGCATTCTGTGCATAGCCCTGTTACAGGTTGATCTCTGTTGTAATAGGGTTACGTTACCCTAACCCGTTATGTTGTTCGTGTGTGATCCCTCTTTCATTTAAAAACCAAGTTATGGTTTAAGCATGAAAGCTGTAGGCCTATAGCTGTCAACAGTTCAAACTGTGATCACCAGTTCAATATATTTGACAAATTCGACTTGGTTTCTTTACTTATTTGAACATGTATTTTTTATTTTTTTATAGTATATGTACATTTTGGTAAACCGTTTTTTTGGGAGTTGAATATTCGAATATACATTTGCTTTCAAATTCCCATCCCTAGTAGATATCCACCCATACAGACAAAAACAAAGCCTTTGATATGGCGACTATTTGGGTTCCCAATCAGAGTAATAATAAGACACGAGTTTAAAAGCTTTCTGTTAAATAAAAGGAACATTTCTGTTTCATTTCACAAAACTACTGATAAAAGCACTGGCATTTTGAGCATGCGTTTGGTAAAAATGACTGGTCCAATCACGCCAAATGTGTTCAGTATGCTTAGAACTCCTATTCAATCTCAAACTACACAGAATTCAAGTTTTTACTGGAGGGGGGGGGGGGGGGTTCAGAAGTCTATAATTTTAGTGAAAAAGCCTGATTGATCATGACATACCTAATTTAGAAATGAACTACTTTCTTAAAATAAATACCTGAATTAATGGGAGAAATGTTGTCATGCAGATTATAGAATGAAACCAAATCTGATACAAAAAAAATGATACTTATATAAAAGTATTACCAGAGAAAGTTAGGGTTTGATAAGTAGTCTCCTAGTTGTTCAAAGCACACTAAGGTTCAGCTCCTAGACTTCAAAAAGACTACAACATAAGAAAGTTTGACCTATTTAGATTGACTGTTAAAAGCAGTGAACAGATGACATTAAAAGGAACAATCTGTGGTCCCAATATAAAACCAAAAAGCCTAAATTAACAGTAAAGATGAGATCATGTCTGTCCAGAGAGTTCACCTTTGTGCTTTGTTTACATTCCTCCTGATGCAAATTGAATAAATGCACAACAGGAGTGCACTACTATTGTTTTAGATACTTCTGGTTTAGCATACATAGACTACAACTGCATATCTCTGTGTTGAAGAATGACAATAAAAGATAGTTCAAATCATTAATTAGTTAAATCAGTTTCTCTAGTGAAGATTTAAGGTACTGTTTCTTGAGTATTACCATTCTTTAAACTTAACTGGCTTCCAAAATGTTGAGATACTTGTACTTTACTAGAGTATTTGTGTTACTTGGTACTTTTACTCCACTACAGTTCAGAGGTAAATGGTGTACTTTTACTCCACTACAGTTCAGAGGTAAATGGTGTACTTTTACTCCACTACAGTTCAGAGGTAAATGGTGTACTTTTACTCCACTACAGTTCAGAGGTAAATGGTGTACTTTTACTCCACTACAGTTCAGAGGTAAATGGTGTACTTTTACTCCACTACAGTTCAGAGGTAAATGGTGTACTTTTACTCCACTACAGTTCAGAGGTAAATGGTGTACTTTTACTCCACTACAGTTCAGAGGTAAATGGTGTACTTTTACTCCACTACATTTAACACCTGTAGTAACTTTACAGATGTGGATGAATGATGGTAAATATAATCAAGTGTTAAATCAGACTTTAGTTCCACCTGGAGTAAATCCACAAGCTGCCCTGCAGAATACAAAGTCATTACAACTAGCTGCACCTTTATTAATGATCAATCATTATAAAACATATCATATATTATTCTGAAATGGACCAATCTGCACAAGGGGACTTTTACTTGTAACAGAGTATTCCTACACTCTGGTACTTCTAGAAGATCTGAGTACTTCTCCCACCTTTAGTACTTGGTTACTTTCTACCTTCATCTCAACAACTAAAAACTCCAAAACGTTACCAAACTAGCCTTGAAACGAAAGGTAGCCAAGCTAGCTTAAATAAAGTTGACTAAAACGTAAAAGTAAGGTCGAAAAACAATGTTTAAGTAGGAAAGAGTGTGACTTATATTCATAAAACTGGTTAGAAGTTAAATGTTTTGAGTGTATGCTAACTTGGTAGCACACGTTGAAGCTTTACTATAATTACAGGCGAGCTATGTAAACTATGCAGCAAAGTTAGCTAATGTTGCTAACAACTCAGTAAACACTCTCCTCCCCCAAGACTAACTGAAGCAAACTTGACCCAAAAATAAATAATGTTAATTTGATTGTTGGTTTTAACAGTGATTTTAAAATCTTTAGTGAGAAAAACTTTTTCTTTCCACGAATGCAGCCAAAAGGCTCCATCTATGCACTGGCGCCAACACACTTACATTAAAAAATCAGTTCGCCGTTTCTTTTCGGTAACTTATTTTTGACCACTTTAATGTAAACTCGTTTGTTAAAAGTATTGACACAAACAATTTTAATTATATCCATAAAGTAATGTATACAAGTTAAGTTGTTTTAAACTCGACAAAATCGTAAACACGAAGCACTTACAACCAACAGTTTGCGTTTGCTCCAGGAGGTAGTCGGAGCCCAAAAATCGGGACCTTTTTTTTTTTGCAGCAAGAGAAGTTTTGCCTTACCTTTTCTCCTCCTTTTCTTTAATTTCCCGTGTGATTAAGGCACTCCTTTCGACGCTATTTCATCGTAGTAACTCAAGTCCAAATCCCCATCAGAATAAGAGGAGATATAAGCATTATTTCCCAGGGTTTTTAGTGTAAATGTTCACGGTTGTACTCTCCTCTGCTGCCCGCTCCGGTCGCTCTGCGGTCTGTTTGATGATGGAGCTCCGAGAAAACCAGCCGGACAAAGATCGTCTCATTACTGGAAGAGAGGTATCACTCCGTGGTTTAAAATTTTTTTTGCCAAACTTCCGGTCTTTTACAGTAGGTGTTGACCGACTACGCATGCGCATCCTTTTCACCTTTCAGGTATGTTACAAGTAGACATTTTCTAATGGATGTTCTCAGTAAATTAGTTGATTTTTGCATCAGTTTAACATGCTGTCGTCTGATTAAATCGTCAAGACTTTGAAGCTGTGTGTTTTTTTTTATCTTACACACTCTTTTTTGTTTTTTATATGATAAAATTCAGCAAATAACTATATTTGTATCATAATTTATGCCTGTCATTTTGTTATTGGAATAACCTTTGCATAAATTAGTCAATGTGAACTGTATATGGTGCAATAAAAACATTGCTAAACATTTTTTTACTTTGCCCCTCTTACACTTCAGTTTGATCATTGCACATTTGTGACATTTGCATAGCATTTCATAATGTTTTTGTAACATATTTAATCTGGAAATATATTTGTTTGTGGTAAATTAGGAGTAACTACAATTAAAAACAACAACGTTGTATTTTTCAGTGGCAATATTTGGAGGACTTTTTCTTCCGTTTGCAAGTAAGGAGTGATTGCATGCTACCTTTTACGATGACAGGCTTAACACATTATATATTGTATTGTTTATAATTTTCTTAAACAACCAAGAAAATAGTTAATTATACCTCCATGTAGTAATATTATTTTCTCTATATTAACCCATAAGAACCCAGACCCATTTCTACTTTTGGGGAAATTAAGGGGAAAATAATTTAGACTAAATAGACCACCTAGAACACATTTCTGACAAGTAACCCCTCCTCGTATCAAACATCTGAAATGTGACATATATGTCCCATTGATGGGCTTTAATGGTAAAATGACTTTTATATATAACTTCATTAATGAGGATAATTTTTTGGTTTAAATTAGTTTGAACATTCTTTGAATTGAAGAATAAAGAATATATTAACTCAATATAATTGAATCAGCTAAATTAACGGAGCAGATTTGTGCATATATGTCACTTTGGGTTTACCGTGAACGTTTAGGGTTAAAGTCCCGATCAGTGTCACAGCGATGTTTGTCTCATTTGTTTCATATCAATTTGATCAAGAAATGTTTCCACAACAGGTTAAATGTAAGAAAGGACATGTTATGTAAGCATTTTAATTCTTAACCCTCCTATTGACTTCGTTTTCCCCCCCTTACTTTGGTGTTCGCTGTCAAATTTGACCGGCCCTGATTTAACTGCTATTACATTAACACAAAAAACATTAATCATCACCAAATGTCATTTAACACCCTTTCAAACTGTAAATATTGTATCAGACTACTGGTATACACGAAAAACTGCAGTAAATATACAAAGAACAGACACTGAAGAACATGTATTGCGTGTGCCAGGTGTGATTCATGTGGGGGGGATGGGCACATAAGAGCGGGAAATGTGTCAAATTGTTCTATGTGTGTGTGTGTGTGTGTGTGTGTGTGTGTGTGTGTGTGTGTGTGTGTGAGAGTGTGTGTGTGTGTGTGCGTGTGTGTGTGTGTGTGTGTGTGTGTGTGTGTGTGTGTGTGTGTGTGTGTGGCCTAGCATTACTATACTTGTGGGGACCTAAATCTGTTTACACAGTCACGTGTGGGGACTCTCCTCCCTTATGGGGACAAATTGGACGTCCCCATGAGGGGAATCATTAATTTTAGGGTGAAGACGTGGCTAGGTTTAGGATTAGGGTAAGGTTTAGGGTTAGGGTTAGGCATGTGTTGGTTATGGTTAAGGTTAGGATAAGTCTCCAGGAAATGCATGTAAGTCAATGTAGTGTCCCCTGTAAGTGATGTATTCATGTGTGTGTGTGTGTGTTTTATCTGATCCGGATGGTTAATAATTCCTTTTCTTTATGACGGTCACTTTTTGACCGGGGACACCATGGGTGTTACAAAGTTGACTAAATCATCCAAAATTCAATGGAAGTGGTACTGTGAAGGATATCATAAAGCCTTAATGCAATCGTATTTAAAACGAAAAAGTTATGATTGATGAAAGTAGTAAATCGGTCAGATTTTACCCGAAGACAACAGGAGGGTATGGCTTGAATTGTACCTTTAGCAACCAAAAAAAAAGCTTTTCAAATGTAGCTAGTTCTGTCACATGTGTTAGTCTGGCACATGGACATCTTGGACCTGTTGTCATGGGAACACAAAATCACATGACCAGGACCCACCAGACTGTTCAGTGTGTGTCACTTAGGGACTAAAGCTGTATAAGGAACTTTCCAGAACATTTAAAGTTCATGTGACACCCGGTGGGTCCTTATGGGGAATCTAGCAGTCTTTATTGTTAAATATTGATTAAATATGTGGTTGGAGGTATTTAATAAACAATGGCTTTTTACTTTTTCTCTCTTTTAATAATGTCTTTGTTCAGTCTTTAAACAGTCGTGTTGTGTAGTTTCGTATAAATAGTCTTACACAATCAAGATTTATATTTATTAATATTTGATTGGCCACCACCACTGACACAGAGACAGAGTGAGAGCTCTTCCGTTGTTCCTCCTCTCTGCTTCCAGTCACTGCAGAGTTAAGGAGGCCAGGAGCCCTCTGGTGTTGATCATAATCTACTACGTGTTTTCAGAATCAGACATTTACAGTTTCAGCAAGTTAAGAGCCAACGATAGCTTCATATTAATCAAGAAGCATGCATAACAAATATTAAAGATAACAGTAGGAATTACACAATTTACCATTGACAAAAAACACATCAATTTTAAACATTTCATATATATTTTTAAAACTACTCCACAATATTTGTTTTGCACTTTCCATCTTTGTTTTTGTAGTTTATAAACTCTATTTTTAGTTTTTGCAGTCATCTTACAGTACGTCAATTTCCAAGAATATTGGGTGTGACTAAATGAGTGTAAACTTAAATAAAGAATATTTTGCAACACAAAATGACGTCATGACGTGTAGGTGTGTGTGCGTATGTGTGTGTGTGTGTGTGTGTGTGTGTGTGTGTGTGTGTGTGTGTGTGTGTGTGGTGTGTGTCAGAGTTACAGAAATTAGAAGTGAAAGAGAAACTTCCTGTTAATGTTTAAAAGTGATGGATGATATGACGTGATTATAACAGAGAAGAGGAGGGTTGTGATTTATTTTTACATTTGTGTGTGTGTGTGTGTGTGTGTGTGTGTGTGTGTGTGTGTGTGTGTGTGTGTGTGTGTGTGTGTGTGTGTGTGTGTGTGTGTGTGTGTGTTTGTGTGTCAGAAATCGGGAGAAATATGACCCCGGGAGGGGACAATGAAATCGGGAGTCTCCCGCGAAAATCGGCAGGGTTGGTGTTACCTTGGTTGGTGATTGGCTATTGGTTACACAAGCCAACAAATCGTTATGAGCTTATGACATCATAAAGTGGCCAAAATCATTTTGGGTCACAGGGAGGTTATATTTTGAGTAAAACTTGAGGAATTGTACTTCAAACTTAGATATTTAGATATTTATTTTTTACAGAAATGTTCACCATATTTATTCATATATACCTGTATTTATTTATACATGTATTTCTTTTATATTTAACCCTTATGTTGTGTTCGGGTCTCCCGTGACCCGTTTCAAGTTAAAATGATATAATAACTACGCTCTTGTTTTTTTTTATCGGAACAAGCCTTCATGATATCCTCCACAACAGCTATATAAACACTACAAAACTGATTTTTGACAATTTTAGCCAAGTTTGAAGGTCTCTAAAAAAAAGTGTGTAATTTGGTGTTGGGGTCTGGGGAGACCCAGCAGCATTGTTTTGGGTGACTCAGGGTCAAATTTGGCCCAATCAAGATTCATCTTAGACTTTAGACACACCCCCCACCTCAACTGTAACAATAATTTTTCGCAACATGCACCTGGTCTTCGCTCCCTCTGGCCCCCCTCCCCCACGGGAACTCAACCTTTCTCAAAGAACATGTACACTAACACTTGAACCTGAACACACACATGCACGTGTGCCATATGTGGTGAAATGTGTTTTGGGGCCATAAAATACAATTACAACGGGATTGTACGGTTATGAATGCATAATAAGTTAGTTATGATGTAGTTAAAACAATATTGGATGATAGATTTTGGACTGAGATATAAATCATGGGTCGAAATTGACCCGCGAACACCATGAACGGTAACAGCTTTCGAACACAACACAAGGGTTAAGTCTTTTTGTGTCCTCCATACATAATCAAATTAACTCAAAGACGATGCAGAACAAAGTAAAATCAGAAATGGACGACATAAACGTATATTTTCAGGTGGTTGAAGTGCTCCTTTTATTCAACTTGCAACACAAATAATCCTCAAATATTCAAAACCTGTTACACAAATGTAGTACAGCAGCTTAAGCGGTCACTTCAGCGTCTTTCTTGACTTTAACATGTTAATAATAATATGAATAATAGTTCACGAAACAGCTTCATTGACTCCAAAACCAGTTCAAACACTCCGAGTACATTTTAAAAAGTGACACCAACACAAACTAATACTGACGTCGCCTCTTTCCACATGCTGACAGACGTCCTGCATGCACACATTCACCCTCTGAAAAAGCACTCAAACTGTATAAAATGTTCAAAGTAAAAACTGTACACCAGCACAAGTGTGTGTGAGTGTGTGTGTGTGCCGGTCTGACAGACTGAATCACAAAAGGCACAGGGAGGCTGAATATTTTACTTGTCCCCGTAGTAACAGTAATATTAATCAATCTTAAAAATACAGATTTCTTAAAACTAAAAACTCCTTCTGCATTAAATCACGTTTTCAGTGTTTCTGAGGCTTCGTTCGCGCTGTAAAAAACACCAGTTTTAAAATCACAGGGTGTGTTTACACTGTAGAATTTAATTGATTTAATTACCTTGAGAAAATTCCCTTAAGGTGGGGTAGGTAATTCACTCCAGAAACACTTTTTGTTATATTCCATGAAATGCTCTTAACATACCGATAGCAATGAATATATTAAATGCTTTGACAATAAAATGTACATAACTAAATGTCATCTGTGGACGCCGTGGCGCTGTAAAAAGCACGACCAATCATCTGAGCCGGCTAAAGTAACTGGATGGCCTACCTGCCTGTCAGCCTTCCATCTGTGCACAAACTTATCTCGTGCCCTCATTGGTCATGTGCGCGTTCGTGTGTGTTGGAGGAGGGGCTCTGTGAGGAAGTCTGAAGGAAAGGGCAGATTTTTTCCGGCTGCGTACTTTCAAATTCTAGCGCACTCGAGCTGGTTTCTCCATTCTTACCTACCTTTAATTGAGGATTAGTTTGCTACACTAGTAAGGTCTTCTTTCTCCATATATTAATATGTATTCAAATATCTTTATATTCGGTTAATGTTTGTTGTTTTCAAATGTTTTGAGATAAAGTTGGCTTGACTTATTATGCAGTTTGTTGAGCTGAATGGGAAAATAATCACATATAAAACGTTTTGCATATTTGGGTCCTTATTGCATCTAATTTGTGTGGACTTTTGAGGATGCAATAAAACAACCAAAATAATCACACACAAATAAAAGTTGTAATGGCCTCCAGTGTGAACAAAGCTTGTGAAAACCGCCGTCGTAAAAATTCAATCTCTTACAGGAAAACAAACAATAACACAATCATTACAGAAATAAATCCATCATCTCTTTGTGCCAAACATCCACAAAAACAGATACATCTGATGAGCACTGAACGCAGCAGTGATATAATATCACACCATGAGAACTGTTAGTTAAAGGTCACCTATCATGCAAAATCCACTTCATGTCTCTTCTACATCAACATGTGTCCCCTCTGTGTAAAGACATTCTGAAAGTTTCAGGAACAAAGATTCTCTCTCTTTTTGTCCTGATCCATTTCTATAAAAACCTGTCTGAAAATGAGCTGATCAGATTTTGGCCACTTTATTATGTCATAACGATGTTTTGGCTTGTGTAACCATTAGCCAATCACCAACCAAGGTAACCCCCCCCCCCCCCACTTTATCACCTGAATCTCCTCCTAGAGCACCATTAGGCGCGTTCACACCGCAGTACTTTTCCCACTTTGGTTCCGATATAGTTCCGAAATGTTGCGTTCACACCAAAAAGAGCCGGAACTAAAAATTAGTTCATGAGAACCTTTTTACCCCCTTTTCAGTCCCTGCTAGAGAGCAGGTATTTCGTGGGAGAAAAAGGTTCCTCTGTCTGATTGGCTGGGCGGATTGCAAACCACGCCCCGTAAAACTCAAAAAAAGTTTTGTGAAGCCGCCATTTTATTATCCTCGCATTAGCATTATTAGCATTAGCATTAGCCCAGCGCACAACCCCAGAGAGACTAACTTATGGCAACACAAAAGAAAACATGGGAGCGGTGGAGATGAGGAGGTGTCGGCGTTCTGGCTATTTACTCGGAAGGCTTCAGCAGCTTCTACTGAATCCAGTCCCCAATTCCGGGGACTTCCGGCCGGGGACTTCGGGTGGCAGTATACGCCGTGAAGTTGTTTGCGGCCTGCCAGTAAACCCCAAGCAGAAGAAGAAGAAGTGACGTCAGCGGCTTCATTTGCCTAATCCTTCCCCAGGGACTTATTCCGGTGTGAACGCGATCTGAACTTAATTCATGAGAACTAAAGAGCTCTCATGAACCTTTGTGGGAAAAGTACTGCGGTGTGAAAGCGCCTATTGTGTTCTTTTTAACCAAATCTCTCTCAGAGGGGCGTGGGGAGGGGCTCCTTATTTTCATCTAAAGTAACAGACAGAGAATCAGCACTTTTGAAACAGGGCTGAAACAGAGGGGATTACGGGATGCTGCAATGATCTGTTTGGTGTTTCAGCCAATCAGAGACAGGTTCTGTATATATCTGAGACCTATAATATATTGATGAAAAACAGTATAATAGGGGACCTTTAATATTAAAATAACAGTTTTTTTGTTGCATAGCACCTACTGTACGTGCAGGGTTAGAAACATCCCATAGAGGTGACTTTAGAGTTACACACACAGAGAACAGGTGTCGTTTTGCATCAGTTCAGCGTTTTTTTGTATCTTCTGTGTTCGTTTTGCTCATTGTTTTCTCTTTGTAGTTGTTTTGCATGTGTTTAAGGACATGTTGGTTCTCTACAGTCTGTGGTTTCTATTTTTACATTCCAGTGCTGAACCAAACATTCATAAATAATTGTGTTAGTTTAGTTAGGTGAAAGAAAAAAAGCCTTCAAATTTAAAAATAGGCACATTACAGAGTCCAATATATTCTGATGTGCAGTTCAAACCTACAGAGTCCAGAGTGAGCAAATTAAATAAATCATACATTTTTCCAGGCTATAATTATAATTTAATTCCGATGTAACATAAATAAAAACAAAGACAAAATTATAAATAGACACTTTTTTTAAATCGCTAAATATATTTTTAATTATGCATTTTATTTTTACTTTTTTTGTATCACTTAAGTTAATAATAAAATTAGGGCTGTCAAGTTAACGCGTTAATAACGCGTTAACGCAAAAAAAAATTAACGCCACTAATTATTTTAACGCGATTAACGCATGTGTATTTTTTTTCCTCGGCCGCCCCGTAGTTTCAGAGCGCATCGAGTTTTCTACAAGCTGATGCTGACAGCCCCGCTCCTGCCGTCCGCTTGTGGCAGACCACACTTCCACGCTCACCGGCAGGCACCGACTGGCTATTGGGAGGACCGGGAGGGTGTGTGTATGTGTGGCTCGAGCGAGCGAGAGAGAGACCTTACGTGCATTGTTGTTGTGAAAGGAGCAATGTCCATAGACCCCCATGTTAAAAGGCCCAACTTTACAGCAGAAATAAACATGTTTCTACCCCTGGATGCAATAAAAAATATTCTGGATATAGTTAGATTCCACCTTCATGACAACGGATTGGGGAGTGAATTTGTTAATAACGCACCCCTTTGAGTTATATTAGGTCTTAAATGTTTTGCATAAATTAGGGCGTGGTCACTTTGATGGACCGGTCCCTGCGGTGACTGCTGCTTCTAGCTTTCTGTCCCTCTGCTAGCTCCGTTAGCTCTGTTAGCTCCAGGATGCTACAGGGGCTCGGCTGCGAGGCTGATCCGGGGAACACAACTTGAACTCGGACGTGTTTGTTGTGTTGGTGCCTGGTGGAGTATTCTTCATTTAAATATCGGAGTTATCATATGCCGCCTCGGCTCCGCCTCTTTGCCCTTATTTGGATCAGGCTGGAGTAGGCGGGAGTTCGACTCTGACTTCACTGTCGAGACGTTAGTGACCGACTCCGCCTACTGAGGGCTTCTCGGCAACTCTGCAGAAACCTATGGGTGACGTCACGGACACTACGGCCATTTACATATACAGTCTATGGGTGAAATCAGGGGCGCTCCTTGCGAACAGGCAAGGCAGGCAACTGCTTGGGGCCCCAGACCAGAAGGGGGCCCCCAAATAAGGTAGATTAAGAAGGTCCACAGCAACGACAACATGAAACACCCTTTAATTTACTGCAACGACATGTCGGGAAACCACCTCAAGGCGGCCCCATCCATAGCGCGCCGTAAACACTTTGCTCCGCTCCAGATAAAACAAACATGTAAATGAATTTGAATCCTTATAATTATCAAAATTATAATGATTATTCTTTTCAGTTTTAAATGTAATATCGTATAATATTTTAAGTAACTATGCTTGTATCAGCTTAGTTACCTGTATATATTTTACATTCATCAATTAATTAACTAATACAAATATATATCGTCATTTTTTTTGGCACACACCAGACTCCGTATCAGAACTTCCTCACATTGAACACACAAGTAGTTTCTGGTAGAAAACAGTAAATAAATCACTACAGTACATAATAACGTGGGCTGGACATCATGACCTGTTTTTTGTTTCTGTTTTGAATCCACAGGCAGCGTAGTTTTAAAATAAATGCACAAAAACAAAGTGTATCTTGCATGAAGAGCGTTTACACACACATTAGTAAAGTCGTCAGCGTGCGGCCGGTCGCCTCCGGCTGGTCGTCTACACGTTGATGGCGTGAGCATGCTTCTTGCACAGAGGTTTGTCTTTCTTTGAGTAGAAAGGCTGGCCCTCCAGGTTCACGTTGCAAACCTGCAGGAAATATATAAAATATAAAAAAGAAACATAGCTTGAGTGATTGCAGAATAACTCAACATTCAACAGTTAGAATTACAGCAATGTTGTGTAAATTAAATAGTTTTATTTACATAAAACCTGTTTTTGCTGCTTTTGTGAAGCACTTTGAATAGCCTTGTTGTTGCTGAAATGTTCTTTATAAATACACTTGCTTTACCTTTGCTAAAAATATGTGTATTCACGTGATTATTTTATATATTAAAGGTAGGGTAGGTAAGAATGGAGAAACCAGCTCGAGTGCATTAGAATTTGAAAGTACGCAGCCAAAAAAATCTGCCCCTTCCTTCAGACTTCCTTACAGAGCCCCTCCTCCAACACACATGAACGCGCTCATGACCAATGAGGGCACGAGATAAGTTTGTGCCCAAATGGAAGGCTGACAGGCAGGTAGGCCATCCAGTTACTTTAGCCGGCTCAGATGATTGGTCGTGCTTTTTACAGCGCCACGGCTTCCAGAGAGGACATTTTGTTCTGTATTTATTGTCAAAGCATTTAATATATTCATTGCTATCGGGATGTTAAGAGCATTCCATGGAATATAACAAAAAGTGTTTCTGAAGTGAATTACCTACCCCACCTTTAATTAAAATACAAATAAAACGTTAATCAGAATCTGATTCAGAATTAAAAAAAAGTTAAACAAAATAGATCAAATTTGAACACAATAATTTATAATAGAAATGTGCAATAAAAACATAAAATGAAAGGAAAACAAAGTTAACGTAAAAATGATGATCAAACAATAATTATGCAGTATTATGAGTAACTCTGGGGACTTTTTTTTTGTTCTCGTAATAAAGTATTTTGAAAGAGTTGTTGGCTTCTTACCGCACACACAAAGCAGGTGTCGTGCCAGGTGTGACCCAGAGCCTCGATGAATTTATCTCCGGCTTCGACCGGGAAGTCACAGCCGTGACACTTTGTGCTGAAGAGAGATATATAATCTGTAGAAGAGACACAGAGGGACAATTAAATATGAATAAAATGTTGACAATTGACAAAAAACACATCATTTTTAAATATTTCATATATATTTTTAAAACTACTCCACAATATTTGTTTTTGTAGTTTATAAAGACTCTATTTTTACTTTTTGCAGTCATATTACAGTATGTCAATTTCCAAGAATATTGGGTGTGACTAAATTAGTGTAAACTTAAATAAAGAATATTTTGCAACACATTAAACTTGTGATTTTTTCTCTGACGGCATGACGTGTGTGTGCGTGTATGTGTGTGTGTGTGTGTATACAGAAATAAGAAGTGAAACTTCCTGTAAATGTTTAAAAGTGATGGATGATGCATTATAACAGAGAAGAGGAGGGTTATATTAGAGACACTGTCTGGGGGGGGGGGGGAATTATCTGATATTACAACGAGAAAGTTAAAATACTTGTATTAAAAGAAACAATCCACTGTGGGTTCGAAATAGATTTGGTAGATTGGACGCACATATTTACTATAATTCAAGGGAAAATACTTTTTATTTTCTTTCTCATATTCTCAAAAATGTAAAACGAATTCTCAATGTTTTAAAAAAAAAGCTTGTTTTTTTAAATCCTATCTGGAAATGGATGAAAGAGAAGGATGAAAAGAATATAAAAAGGTTAGAAAAGTGTCAAAATAACTATAATTACATGGAAATACTAGGGAATTAATTTATCTGGAGCAAACTCCCAGAAACCTGCAGGTCCGCTGCACCTCTTACTACTTTTAAATCCAGGCTGAAGACTTTTCTTTTTGCTGCTACTTTTAATTGAACTATTCACATCTCACGCTGCACTGTAACATGTACCTGTTATTCATGTTTTATTATCTTTGCTTTTTAATATTTCCAATGTGTTTTATGCTCTTAACGTCTTTCATTTTTGTAAAGCACTTTGAATTGCCTTGTGTTGAAAAGTGCTATATAAATAAACTTGCCTTATATTTCAATAAGGGTTCAGATTCAAGGCTTCACTATGTGTTCTATTAAAACAATTTACCCAGTATAATATCATAAATACGATAAATAAAACAAAGTGTTGACGTACCTTTCTCGCAGTACGGCTCCCCGTCCTCCATGTGGAAGAGGCTGTTTCCGAAGGGTTTACCGCAGGCGGCGCACACGAAGCAGGTGGTGTGCCACGTCTGCCGCAGGGCGTGCATCACTTCCTGTTACACACAGATCAGTGTGTGTTAGGGTGTTGTGATGACAAGTGGAAAGCTGTGCAGTGACTGTTATTTTGTATATATTGATTGTTGAGCTTTGTTTTATGTCTTAATATGTGCATATGTATAAATGTGTCTGTTGATTGTGCATATACATATATATATATATATATACACATATATATTAGTATTTTTGTATTCGGGATTGTGGGAAACGGTATTTCGGACTTGTTGAGGTAGCTTTGTATAAAAATATGCAACATTCAGAGGGTTTAAAAGGTAGACAGGTAAAAAGGTAAACAGGCATACAGGTGTACAGACAGGTGAACAGATGTTTAGACATACAGGTGTACAGACAGACAGGTGTACAGGTTAACAGGTTAACAGACAGACAGGTGCGTCTCACCCCCATGATCTTGGTGTTGCAGCGAGCGCAGGTCGGGGCGAAGAACTCCTCGTAGCAGTTCTCGCAGTAAACGTTGTTCTGCTCCTCCACGAAGCTGGCGTCCGCCAGAGACATGTGGCAGTAGTGACAGTGAAACTCCTCCGGGTGCCAGGAGCGGCCCAGGGCCGACAGGAAGGGGCCCCTGCAAACAAAAACAATATAATTTACAACATTGTCAGTCAGCTGCAGGTGTTAATGACCAAAGGCCTGTACTACGAATCCAGTTCAACAGACCCTGGATATGTTTGAGTTATCTGGCTTAACTAACCCAAAACAAACGCGCTCTCGCTAAGCGGTCCTATGACGCTGGTTATCAACTCGGTAACTCAAGCCAGGGTTTCTCTGTCCGGCTGAGTGCGCGTTCACATGAAAGGGGCGGGGCTAGCAACATTTGACCAATCACAAACAGGGACAAGCATACTGACAGCGCAGCGTCATACTTCCTGAATGAAAAGTAAACTATAATATTAGACAAATATGAAGAAGTTAAACTTTAAACATCCATGACTTAAACACTTTATCCAGGAGGAAAGCCACATAGCTGCACCTGCAAGGTGAATACAGCTGGGAAAAGAAAAAGTGTTTGAATGCATACATTAACAGGTTTATGATATCACTGGTATTGTCGTGCTAAGACACGAGTGGATCTGACTTTAATTACATTTGACTCGAGTGTTTCGTCAACTTAATGTGTTGCTTAAAATAATACTTCTGCATACAGTATGTGACACTGAGTGTTGCACGGCCAGATACGGCTCAGCTGACTCAGATAAGGAAATAAATGGGACACATTGACGTCTGCACTCACAGTGCCTCGGACTGTACGTAATGTTACTTTGATCCGGTTACTTATGATATTTAAGTAAGCTTTCTTAACGCTGATGTTATATTAGTCAGATTGCTCTGAAGATGGGAGGTGATATTCTATTAATGTTCACGTTCACACAGTCGGTGATTTTTGCCGGCCGTCTTTCCTTTCTCCTGTAATATGACTTGATCGCTTTAAACTCCGCACACTGAGCTCTGATTGGTCAGCAGGCGGTGCTTTCACTGAGTTGATCTCTTATCCTGGAACCAAGCTGCTCCAGAGCAGGTTATCCGTTCAGCATAAGTTACCATGGAGATCTAGCCCGGTAAGAAGTGAACCAGCGTCGTAGGACCGGAAATCCAGAGTTTACCCTGAAGTTAGCCGCTAAGCGAAAATCCAGCTTCGTAGTACAGGCCTCTGTTGATTGTGTGTGTGTATATATATACACACATACATATTTTTTATATATCTTTGTTATTGTATTCAGGATTGTGGGAAATGGTATTTCGATCTCTCTGTACACACAAACTGAAAGATTGACAATAAAGTTGACTTTGAAGCTACCTGTTTTTTTATTACCTCTTAACTTTTGCATCCTACATCAGAAATAATTGAGCTTAAGAACTTTTATACAGGACAGGTGTAAGTGTTGACAGGCAAACAGGAAGACAGGCAGACAGGTAAAAAAGTTTACAATAAGACCAGGGAAGAGGGCTAAAAATAAAGATAATTACCTTATGATTTAACCTCTACACATATATTCATATACTGGGCAGTAACAAAACATCTCTATTCTTTATTTTTGTATTCAAGCAAACTATCATATATCTAATCAGTATGTATAAAGTACCTGATGACGCCGTTGCAGGACCCACAGAGAGGCGTGCGGCTGCTGGCGGCGAACCTCTCCGCCCTCTGAGCCACGCCCCTTGCCACAGGTGTGAAGGGGGCGGGGGTTGGTGTGGCGGGGGCGGGGATTGGAGCTGCAGGTGCGGAGGAGGAGGGGTTGGGGATGTATGTAGGTGGAGGAGGGGCGCCCTGGGGCAGCTGCTGCACCTTTATGGTGGTGGTCATCTTACTGGGGTCGAACTTGTCTGCGAAGTTGGTGTCGGACACCCAGGGGGGTCGGTTAGAGGGGGAGGGAACCGCGGGGGGTTGGGGGGGGGCAGCAACGGGGGGGCAAGGCTGAGCAGCAGGGGGTGGAGCTGAAGTTAGAGGACAGGAAAAACGTTTGTAAAAGCTTCAAACTCAGTAATAATGCAACAACAAAGCAGTGCCATTTGAAAACAAAAATGTGGATCTGAACTGAAATGACTGAGACAACTGAAGTATTCAGACATGAGACCCTCCTAAGACTTTAAATCAATGCCGTGTTGCATTTGTATTGAAGATTCTTCCTCATGTTGAAAAAATAATAATAATATGACAAGCCCAGTCCTTTTGCTGCCTCTACGAAGACTGTTACTGCTTTCCCGCTTTTAACGTTTTTCTACAACGACAAACGTTGTCCCGAGGGCGATAGGAAAAGTGTTTGGGACACTGTCAACTCGATTTTGATGCTTCTAGAGAAAGCTCCATCACTTTGTCAGATTATGCACGATTGTGAACAAGAAATCTTTGTTGAAATCTGCAGGAGATATAGTTACAAATATTGAAAAATAGGATGAGAAATTAAATTGTATTGCTGTATCTATACATGGACATGTTTATATTTTTTGATGACTAACAAAAGGCTAGTTTCTTTATAAGCTATTCTTTCTGTCCTCCCACTTTTATTACATTTTGTTTGCGATTGTCTGTTTCATTCATTGTCTGTATTAATATCGATTAATATTCAATTGAAGTAGTTGAATACAACAAAAGAAAAAACATTAGAAGCCGGTCAAGCATACTGTACAATATCTATTCAGTAAAAACGTATATATTTGGCAAATGTAGGTTACTACGTTATCATGTTGACATTGTAATCTTGTAAAAACGTAGCAAAGATCACCTGGCTGGGAGGGGTAGATGCAGGCGGTGCTGACCACCTTGGGAGGGGCGGAGCCAAGAGGGATCTGAATGGAGCTCTGCTGAGTGGGCGGGGCCTGTTGCGTGGGCGGCTGCTGATACTGCTGCGGGATTGGCTGCTGGTATTGTTGTTGTTGCATTGGTTGTTGGTATTGCTGATGTTGCATTGGCTGCTGGTATTGTTGTTGTTGCATTGGCTGCTGGTATTGCTGTTGCGGCATTGGTTGCTGGTACTGCTGTGGAGGCGGGCCTTGTGGAGCCTGGTGCATGGCAGGAGGCTGACTGTATTGGCTGGAGAAGGATGGGGGGAAAAAGTTGATTCATCACAGGGTTCAGTAAACCTGCCAAACTCATTAAGCTGTTGTTCTGAAAACATGCACTTCTAGCCTTCCTGTGCACACCAGAATGTTCTCATGGTTCATAAGAAGACACAAAACAACCACAAAATGATTATACCATAATAATCCATGCATGATACCTGCAGATACCTGAACAATTTGTTTTAATCACCTGCAGAAATACTTGCAGACTCTGAGCACAGATTAAAGTTCAAAAATACCTATCTGTGTTTTCTACATGTGTCAACCCCTGATTTGTTGATTTGAAGGTTAAAAGTATTCTTCGTAATAAAAATTATTTATTTATGAAATATTAAAATGCTGTTATATGTAATCTAGTTGTAAACAACCCTCATTTTACCTGAAAATCACCAAATCAGAGTTAACTGGGTTTTGTATATCTTAGCTTTGTATACACGCAAATGACAGGAAACTTAAAGCAGGAGTTTTAATAAAAACAGCCGAGGAAGACCAGCATGTAGGGAATGAGTCAGTATCTTGACATTAAAATAAAGATGTAATTGTGACTCAGCATGTTATTCAGCTGATGAACGGATTAAGCCGGTATTCAAGATGTCCTGAAGTTGGAGTTAGGGGTTCAATCCCTTCAATGTCACCCATTTAAAAAAAAGAAGGTCTCAGTATGCTTCAAACAAAGCGCTTGTTGGTAGAAAACACCTTTTTAATGAAGGAATCAGGATGGACAATTTTTGTAAATTTTCTACAGTCTTCTTTCATGACTTTGGGATAATACATTTTGCAGCGAATCAAAGAGCCTTTCTTAAGAGTTTATTTTGATTTTGATTATCTATGTAATTACACATCTGAGAGGATATATTCGACATGCGGAGTTCCTCAAGGCTCCATCCTGGGGCCTCTACTATTTTAAAATCAACATGCTCAAATAATGGAAAACAGCTAAATAAGTTACATTACCTATGCAGACTCGATATAATTGTACATTTCATCAAGGAACTATGGTAAAATAAAAGCACTCAGTAAGTGAATTGAACAAATCAATAATTGATAGGAAAAAAAAATCTAAAAAAAAGGTACATTTTTTGGAGCCAAGATGGCACAAATAAAACTAACTCTTAAAACTTGTCAGATTTATGTTGTGGAATTAAAGGGACATATTAAGCTCATAGATAAAGTTGCATAAAAGACATCAAACAAACAAGTTATCTTAAAGCATACTGAGGCCTTGAATCCATAAGGCACTGCGAGGAGTCTTTAGATAAAGAAGCCTCCGTTTTAATTGCAGATGATGTGTTAAGTAGCGTAGAATAAGCGGCAGCGTGATAAAAAGAAGCCGTCAGCATGGTGATCTCTGCAGGTTTTTGTACCTGGAGCCTCCGACCCTGTGCTGGACTCTGTAACCAGCGGCAGACTGTCGCTTCAGGCTGCAGGTGTAGAGACAACAACATCACCATCTGCATCCTAGACGCTTTTTGGGGTTGTGTTTCTTAGCGACTTTTAAGCGCATGTTATTCCAACTCAAAGGGCTTAAAATATACTTTTTTCCCTCAGTGCAACTGTCCTGAAGTCTTCTTTCGATTGATAGTACCATCTTTTACGCTATCCGGATCTGCTTGACATTGCAAGAGGCTTTAAGTCAATTATTATTTTTGCAATTGAGACGAAAAATATTCATATATACTTACAAATTCTTGGCATCATTCAGACATTGTGAAATAAATTATACCAACTAATACCGACCTCCTGCATACATGTATTTTCTCGTTTTGACTTCACTTAACAGCCTCGACACTTGACAACAACAACAAATGCTGAGTGATGACCAGCCCAAAATAAAGTGTGCAATTAAAATATGATTGTCTAAAACACATGTAAGAAAAAACCTTTGATGTTCTTTGAATATAAAGAAAAACTCACAAAATTATAAAGTCGTACATTTGCACAAAAAATTAACATTTTTCCGAGAATAAAGTCACAATTTGATGAGAAACAAAACTCTCTTTTTCAAGAAACAATGGAGCTCTATGTCTCACAGGAAAAACACATATCACACACACACACCATATCTCACACACACCACACACACACACACACACCACACACACACACACACACACACACACACACACACACACACACACACACACACACACCACACACACACACACACACACACACACACACACACACACACACACACACACACACACACACACACACACACCCACACACACACACACGTTAGTAGAGACACCCGCTGCTGTTACCTGTCGGGGGCGGGGCCAGGTTCAGCAGGGGCGGGTTCCAAAGCAACAGGGGCGGAGTCAGCAGAAGCTGAAGCATGCTCAGTAGGGCTGAAGCACAGGAAGCGTTAGCATTCACGCTAAGTAGGAAGCATAATGCATATATTTATATATTTGCACATGCAGATTTGACCTCCCTACATACATGTATAATGTATACTGTATATACATTGTATATATACACTGATCAGACAAGGTTAGTTAAAGCATGGAAAGAGATCATCAAGCTTGTTACATGCAGAAATCAAAATGCTCCATATTGCTCAGGTTGATGTGAGATGTGATATATTTGTGTTCATTTGGGTCCAAAATAAGGTTTCATCTGCAAACAAAAAAACCCTTAATGAAAAAAAAGGGATGCCTTTTATTGAGCTCTAAAATATGTTTTCTTTGCACTCTTTTCTTATCTCGAAACACAATCGTTTCCTGAAGTAAAGGTTTTGTTTACTTGCTTCTTGTCCAGTAAGCCAATTTGCCTTTTTTCTATAAAGTCACTGACACTCATTTAGTTTATTTCCACCTCAGCCGTCTCTCCTATAAATATTCTCCTTAGAGCTCAACAAGAGACAAACACATTATAAGATGGAGAATCATAACACATCCACCTACTGTACGAATATGATCACTGGCATGAAAGTGAAGCTTGAGAGAAGAGAAATATTTGTTAGTTTTTTGTTTATTTATTGTTTCGCGTTTAGAGAGGGAAATTAAAACTAATACAAATCAACTTGTTTTTAAACTTTTCCAGGGAATTATTGAAGCCACCTTTTTATTGCTAATATATATATATATATATATATATATATATATATATATATATATATATATATATATATATATATATATATATTTACTTTCATTTCTTTATATTTAAATATGACATTATTTCTTATAAGTTTATTTTTATTTTTTATATATTCATTTTATTTGATATGTATTTAATTCATAACATGTATTATGTTCACTCTAATATATTAACATGTATTTATATATATTTTTTTTATGTTATCCTTTTAATTATATAAATTATAAATTTAAGAAAGATATATTCTCATTTAAAGGAGACCTATCATGCAAAATGCACTTTTTGATGTCTGTTATACATAAAGATGTATCCCCGGTGTGTCAGGGAACTCACGCAGCGTCAGAAAATATAACCCTCTCTCTTTTCCTCCGTACCCAAATCTCTAAAAACGGGGCTACAATGGAGCTGATCCAGATTTGCGTCCGATATAACGTAATATCGGAAATGTGGACCCACGGCCCAATCAGAAACGTTGCTATCAGAAACAATGCCCGACTGTTTTGGACGTAATATGGTCGGTGTTTACATTAGCATCGCTAACACTCAGAGCTAACCTGTACTGGAGAGCATGTGTGTGAAGAAGCAGGAAGTAAAAAGGAACTCACCTTGTGGTATAACCGGCAAGAGAGAAAGCCTTTGAGCTCCATACTGTTTCAGAGAGAATCCTTGATAATCCATGATATGGCGTTTCATCACGGCAGCATTTAGTTTAGACAGTAGCTGCCGGGTCCCGCATGAGCTCAGACCCCTCCTTTTACATTTTTTTATCAATTTTACATTTTTTAAAGCTTTATACCCAAATCAGCACTTTAGAAACAGGAAGTGAAATAGAGGGATATGAGGCATGGCTAGAATGGGTGATCTGTTTGGTATTTTGAGCAAAACACTTTATTGACATGTTTTGTATATATATCTGAGACCTATGCTATTGCCTACAAATAGCACGATAGGTGACCGTTAAGTTTAAATTATTTATGAAATTATATTTATTTTGACATGTGATATAAATGAATATTATCTCTACAGAAAACATTATGTATTTTAATTCTTGAAATAATCCGTGTAGAGGTCTCCATATCAGATTTTATAAAACGTATTAAATCGAACATATCCCTCTGCGTTCATCTTTGTGTGAGTCACATCTCAGGAGGATTTAGAGACAAAACCCACAGTCTCTTTATGGGCGGATAAAAGCTTGACCTCTGACCCCATTGATTCACGTTGAGTCATTGCACTCTGGATACAGACTGAAGGGAGGGGGGGGGTATCTGCTCTTATTTCAGGCAGCAGCAACGATCGATGTGCATAATGGAGGGATGATTAAATAAGTGTGCTGAGAAAAGAGAGCTGCATCCATCAGGGCGGAGGGTGGAGGAGGGCGGGGGTTAAAAGGGTTGTCCTCCACACTAAAGCTAAAATAAGAGGAAGACTAGCGGAGAGAGCAACAGGAGACTTCAGTAATCGTTCAGCAAAAATGATTTGGTCATAAAATGTGAAGATAGACATTATCTTCTGCAGTTACAGGCTGCTTTATTTGAGGTCTTATTAGGGATGTTGTAGGTCAAATAAAGAAATACCTACGTGTAGGGGAGTAACATTATATCTGAGAAAAAAAAACTAAAACAATTCGTAAAGAAAACACTTGAAAATGATCAAAGACTAAAAAATTAGCAAGAAGAAAAACGTACATTTATGACTTTGATATCAGGTATTTTGAGGATTTATTTTCTTTGAATATTAGTCTCTGTAGAACTCCATATTTGCGTACAATTTTTATAAACTTTTCTGCATTTTAAGCACCATTATTATTTGAGTTTATTGTTAATATTATGTAAGATGTATTGTGGGAATCAGTGGGAAAACAAAATGAATAAATAAACGAGATCCATCATCCTATTGTGCCCCCTGTTGGAGAAAACAGTGATGAAGGACATGGTGCTTATATAAAAAAAAATGTACTCCCAACTAAGACTGAATACATGTAATTGAATACAAACAATAACTTTGTACTTATAAAATAAGGGTGTTAAAATAGGGCTAGTTTTCACGATCATTTTAGAGAAGGGGTGACGGATCGGGGGAGTGAGGAGAGGTGAGGGGGGGGCAGAGTGTAAAGGTGCTGGTGGTGGTGGGGGGTCAGCAGCTTTTAATGGAGCTCTGCTGCCTACCTGCTCCTCCTCAGAGCCCCCTCTTCCTCCTCCTCCTCCCCTGGTACTGTAACACAAACAGCAGACGTCAGCGGGCTTCCTCAGTTCAAAGTTTACCGACACTAATGTTGAAAAGTTTGTAATCTGCTGCCTCAAGCGTCTAAATGTGTCCAATCCATTACGTCACAGCTGGTCAAGGCTCAGTTAAATGAATGGAGAGGGAAAACACTGGGTTCAGCTTTTAAATAAGAGCTATTAACTGGATACTGTGTAGTTGATTTAGTTAAAAAATAAAATCTACCCCGATTAACAGACGTCTCTTTCCAAATATATGTCAATAAGAAAAAGTATTTTTGGGCCAAATGACAAATAAGTTGTATTACCACCGTTTGGCCACTAGACACAATTAGATTTAACGTGCAGTTCACTTCTTGGGGGCTTGGTCGCCATCTTACTTTTTGGGCCTGTGGAGATAAATCCTTAAAATGCCATTATACACAGTGTACTGCTCTTTTAGCGCAATGTTCACAACATTGGGTACATCCACGTAACGGAAGTTTGAATAATTTAAGAACTGTAAACAATTCATTGGTGTGTGAACAATACTTTTTATATCAGTTAAAATAGATAAACTGAGGAGACAGCAGATTACAAACTTTCAATAGAGTGCCACAGTGACATGTCCTAAAACCCGGAAGTAGTAGTTAGCATTTTACCACTTCCGGTTCCTTCGACAAAAAGCAACGGGATTTCTCCAGAGGGTTTTGGAAAATATCTGGAAATAAGGTCTGTGGTTGAGACACATTGAAGAGACGGATCACGTTTTGTTCTACGACATTAAATCCATCAGCAGTGACCCCACTGGTGATTTCTGAAGAGTTGACGTGTCTGAAAAACGATGGTTGTTAACAAGTGGCTGAATAGGACTACAGAAGTTGTTCGAGGCCGTTGTACGTCATTACACCGAACACGTAAACACTCCCGCTAAGTTTGTTTACCCTGTTCTGCTTGAAAGCAAGTACCTGCCTCCTGCAGACTGTTCAAACAAACACTTCAACTCGTATCATTTACAATCTGTATGTTTGAATATGGATCTTAAGTTGGCGTGACGTTGAAGCAGCGACCCTGCTGTAGTTCCTTTATAGCATAACGTTAGCATTTTGCTTCTGGCAACTAGATTTATGATTAGAAAATTATAAAAGTAGGGTAGACATGTGGAGATTATCCGGCTGAACAAAACGTGATCCGTCTCTTAAATGTGTCTCAACCACAGACCTGATTTCCAGCTATTTTCCAAAATCCTATAGAGAAATTGCATTGCTTTTTGTCGAAGGAACCGGAAGGAGTTTTAGGACGCGTCACTGTGGCACTCTATAGTTTTATAGTCTATCTTTATATGAGATTTTACGCTAAATCAAAGTAACCTGCAGACTTACCGGCCTCGGTGCCGGTCACGAGGGCCAGGACTTTGAAGGTCTTGGACTGCATGTTGGCTGTGGTGCTGCGACGGCCCCCCCCACCAACATCCTGGTCCTTTTCTGCACTCTGAACCGCCTGATAGACCGGCGAGTCGCTGTCTATAAGAGCCTCTTTAACGGGACTGCAAACCCCCCCCACACCAAACCAAACCAGGTCAGACAGTAAAGCTTGAGCTGACTTTAAGGAAGGACCTGCAGCGCTAAACTGTTTTTACAACACGCAAGTAATACTTTGGATTGATGGTGCAAAAGAAAGCAATATTGGGCAGGTGTTGATTTGATTTTGCATGACTTGATTTAAATAAAGATGGAGAGGAAGTTAAAGGGTTTAAATATCTATAGGGCAGCAACTAAGGATTATTTTAGGACACATTTTCTATAAAATGTCAGAAAATAGAGTTAAATGTCTGACAGACGCTCAAAGTCCTCAACATTTAAAGATATTCTCCTTAATATGATATCATTCATATATAAACCAGTTCAGAAGCTGAAAAAAAGTATTTTCTGACATTTTTTAAAGTGAAATGACTACAATATAGTGCAAAATAGAAGCGTTTCTATAGTGTTTCAGTGTTATAAGAATAGGTACCACTTTACAAAAAGACTACCCTTATAAAGGATTCATAAAGGGTTTATAATTAGGTTGTAAACACTTTATTAATCATTAAGAACCAATTATAAACCAGTTATAACAGTTTTCATTCATCAACACAGGCTCACTATTTGGCAAGATGACTAAGCCTTATATTGGCTACTTAGCGAGAATCAACTCAGTGAGCAACAGATACCAAGGATGCTGGCTGATGAAGAAGACGAAGTAAGCTAGGTAGCCAATATAGAGAGGCGAAGTCCCGCCCATCTACTTCCGATCCATGTCCATGGGACATCATTTCAGAAAAATTATATATTGAAGTCAATGTAGAGAGAAAACGTATCTTTCGATCCCGTTTGAATTGTGCCACGAATTACACATATGATGTTTGTCAATCTTAAAAAATTATTTCCATGTCAAAAAAGTTTGTTGTAAAACTGTTGAAATATAAGACTATGAAAAATACGCAACTAGAAAGACTACAAATCCCAGAATCCCGGTCCCGCATGCTGGCTCTTACGAACCGACTAACTCCCCTTGTGTGTATGTGCAGCTCTCAACATGCCCAGACTTGGAGTGATTTTCACCTCTTTTAATACTTTCCGCCTGATTCTGAAAGAAAGAAGTGAAATGTGCCAACGTGACGACCGTCTTGGTGTGTGGTGTGAGACGGGAGATGTAGGTCATTGAGCGGTTTCACACAAAAAGTGTTACTTCACAGTTTTACGACACATTCTTTTTTTTTTTGACTGGCAAAATTATTTTTTAAATTGACAAACATATGTGTAATTCGTGGCACAATTCAAACAGGATCGAAAGATAATCTTTCTCTCTCCATTGACTTCAATGCCTAATTTGTCCGAAATAAGGTCCCATGGAGCTCCCCGGAAAGGGAGGGACTTCGCCTCTCTATTGCCCCTTTCACACCAACGCGTTTTCAGCTCCGGTTCGGAACTGGAGCCTGAAAAGTACCGGTTTTTCCTGTTCACACCGCAGAGGCGCCGCCTCTTAGCTCCGGAATCCGGTTCACTTCCAGCTCCAAAAAATTGTCGGTCTAGAGCAGTGCTTCTCAAAGTGTGGTCTGCGGACCACTGGTGGGCCGTGAGCGCCCCCTAGTGGTCCGTGAGTATATTGGTACAATTTCACATTTTAAATAAATTAATAAATTAAAGTTTTACGCACTCTTGCGGGAATATCTCCGCAATGGAGCGAGCCTAAATTTCACTTTCGATTGCATGATATAGCCCAGCGAAACACCTTCTTCACACATGTTACCACTTGTTTGTACAATTTTCAGGCGATTTGTAATCTGTTCTAGAAAAACGATGTGATTTTGGATATTTGTGGAGTTAGGTGGTCCGCGAGTGTTTTTTTATTGGTTAAGTGGTCCTTGGTATGAAAAAGTTTGAGAAACACTGGTCTAGAGGCAAGAGCTTCGGAGCTAAGAGGCGGCGTCACTTACGTCTCTCTTACGTCTCTCTTACGTCGAGGCGGGTTGAAGTAGATGCTGAAGACCACAAAGAAGTCTTGCATTTCGCATGTGATGTTTGTAAAGTTCCAAGTAAGTCGTCCGATGCCTTCCATTTTGTTTCGTAAGAGGATAACCAAAGCGAACAGCGCTTCAATACAATCGGCCATTGTTGTTGTTGTCAATGTGAGGGATTTCCGCGCGGTTTGGATTTTATGAAGCAGGCACGTAAACGGTGACGTCATGACGCAGCAGCGGCAGCTCTGGGCGGTGTGAACAGAGCGGGAGCAGAAAAGGGAAACCGGAGCTGAACCAGAAAAGCTCCCGCTCGGAGCTAGAAAGGGAAAAGCGCTGGTGTGAAAGCCGCATATGAGGTTTAGTACTTACAGATTAATGTGGGCTCACTATTTGGCAAGCAACCGGTCACAGTTACCCTGTTTATCTCATGTCTTATAAAAGCTTATTAATGATGTATAAAGTGCTCACAACCTAATTAATAAATTAATTACAAACTGTTCGTAAACCCTTTATAAGGGTAGTCTTATTGTAAAGTGGTACCGATAGTTATTTAAATCCTTCTAGGGGTGCAATTAAGGATTATTTTCATTATAAATTAATTGAATATTCACAATATTTTTCTAAAAATCATCAGAAAAAAGGGTTCAAGTTGATGTCTTTAAATGTCTTGTTTACTCTTTCCAAAAACCACAGATTTTCACTTGAATACTGTTGTTTTTGGCTCATTGTCAGTTACTTTAGATAAAGGTGTCATCTAAATAAAATAGACAATGATAAAAGCAGTAAATCTTCATTTTTGAGAGGCTGAAAACAGCATTCAAAGACATTCTTGCATGAAAAACACGAGACATAAAACATGTTGTATTGTGTTCTAGTATTAGATGTTTGTTAGACTCATAATGAACAGATAAAAACCACCAGAAGAAGAAAAAGGGTCTCAGAACATTCGGTTTTCTTTCATTTAAGTTTTACTAAATAAATAAACAAACTAAACTAAACTACTACCTTAGTTTTACTACCCAGCTTATTGTCGGTTTAGTTTTGTATTCTGAGCGTTTCTCAGTGAATGAGAGTTTGACGCAGCGCGACGAACAGCAAGTGTGATTGGTTTCTCAGTGGAGCTCGTGGTATTTTAACTAAAGGTGGATTATGAGGGTGTAAAAGTGTGTGTAGACGTCTGTAGTAATGTCATTTTCACTCTCAGAGGTGAAAACAAGAGCAATTTCTGAATTCATACACACACTGCAGCACGGATCCAGGAGCAATTCTCCAACAGGATGGAAACATGTTTTGTTAGTGTCAGAGGAAGAAGAGGAATGCAGCAACAACAACAACAGCAACCAGAGATGCAACGCTGCAGAGAGAACAACTACAAAATCTTTCAGAATGATGTGAAAAAAATCTATAATTGAATTAAAAATTAATTAAATTAAAAAAGTAGTTATATTCAATAAAATAAATCATACAGAATGTGAAAAAATCTAAACTGTAAATGATTTATTTTATTGAATATAACTACTTTTTTAATTCTGTTTATTTAACAAATATATAATTTAATATTTCCTGTTAACGTACATTAGTTTTTCTGTAAGATACCTCAGTATTTGGTAATTGGAAAATGGTTGATATAATGGTATAATTTTAAAGAGGAATATGAGAAAGGAAGAAAGATGTTACAAAAATAACAAATAAATAACTGAGTTTTTTAAAATTAATTTCCACATTTAAAGGTAGGGTCGGTAAGAATGGAGAAACCAGCTCGAGTGCCTAGAATTTGAAAGTATCTGTCTCTTCCTTCAGACTTCCTTCACAGAGTCCCCTCCTCCTAACACACACGAACGCACACATGACCAATGAGGGCACGAGATAAGTGTGTGCACAGATGGAAGGCTGACAGGCAGGTAGGTCCATCCAGTTACTTTAGCCGGCCGGCTCAGATTGGTCGTGCTTTTTACAGCGCCTACGGCTTCCAGAGATGACATGTTTGTATGTATTTATTGTCAAAGCATTTAATGTTTTCATTGCTATCGGGATGTTAAGAGCATTCCATGGAATATAACAAAAAGTGTTTCTGAAGTGAATTACCTACCCCACCTTTAAGCTGTTGTACAAAATGTAAAATGATGATGTCTTTGGCATGAACAACTTCTATATTTGGTCATTATGTCTTTGAAAATTGATTGTTTTAAACCCAATTGTAAAGACGATCATGAGTGGAAGAGATAGGAAGATATGGTGAGGAAGATATGGTGAGGAAGAGGAGTAAAAGGATGGTCATGGTGAGGAGGAGGAAGAGGAAAAGATGGATGGTGCTTGCTTTGGTTGGAAGAAAAATGGATGGTGGGAAGAATATGGCGAGTAAAAAGGACGCCAGAGGAGAAGATGATTAAGGAGGAAGGACAATACTTTGGTGAGGAGGAGGAGGAGGAGGAGGAGGAGGAGGAGGAGGAGGAGGAGGAGGAGGAGGAGGAGGAGGAGGAGGAGGAAGAAGAAGGTGCTCTTACCCGGCGTCGTGCCCCATGCCCTGCGTCTGCCCAGCGATGACGTCCATGATGGCGTCCTGAGAGTACATGCTGATGGGGGTGTTGTACTGCGCGTGGATGATGGTGGCCTTCCCTCCGGGGGCCGTCACCTCGATGGGCCTCTGGGGGGGGGCCGGGGGGGCTGAAGCTGGTGCTGTGAGGTGAGGGTGGGGGTTGGAGGTGGGAAAGGTTGAGGGGTGTGTGTGAGGGTAGGACACGAGGAGGGTGTGTGTGTAGTATGAAGGTGTTAAAAAGAAGAAGCATCCAGGCCAATCATGCTCACAATAATGTTCACTTTCCTCCAATAAGAAAGGTCAAAATGACGTCCTGTAGCCGTCGTTTATCAAATCAGAACGACAGCGTGCTTTTCCATATTATTTTAAAAAGTATGTGGGATCAATTTAACCTTATACTTTAACATAAACACATTGAATTCCTATAATAGCTATCTTTACTGCAATAATCTTATAGTCCAAGATGTCATTTTTATGCCACTAGGGGGCGACAAAAAGCAACTGAGGCGATAATTTGGATTATTAGGATTTCATGTTTGTGCATAATTATAAGCAGAGGACTCTTCTGTACACACTGATTAAAAAACTCATGGATTTAATCTCCAAAAATGTCTGAGTTTTCTTGTAAATATGTGATTTTTTTTAATACAAAAACCGATTCTCAATAAAAAAGAAACATTCCTAAATATTGCGATTTTGATTCGCTTTTTTCCCTTCAATGGGTCTTATGCACTGGTCTTATAATACACACCGTTTCCTTGGATACAATAATACATTACATTATATCACTTGTTAGACGCTTTTATCCAAAGCGACTTACTGAACACTGTGGACAATCCCCACAGGAGCAATTTGGGTCTCAGGGACACAACGCCATGCTGACTGCAGTGGGGTTTGAACCTGTGACCCCCTGGTCCGAACACCAACGCACAACCCACTGCACCACATGCCTAATAATTCAAATACGGTAATAATTAAAGCTCATGCGTTTTCAATCATAACACATATTTTGACCTTTGTGTAAATGCAACACAGATGTCATAGATGATTGTATTACAGCATGGATGTCGTAAATTACGTTTTTATAATAATATATAAAATGTCTCTGAAGATGCATGCAACACCACAAACATAAAAAGGAAGCTGTGGCTCAGTGGGATCGTGCGTTGGTGTTGGGATCAGGGGAGCACAGGTTCGAACCCCACTGTAGTCAGCATGTCGTTCACTTCACCCCAAATTGCTCCTGTGAGGATTGCCCACAGTATTGAGTATGTAAGTCGCTAAAACAACAAGTGACATGTAATGTAATAAAAACCCAGAGGTGTATTCTCTCTTGAGACTCATTTGTCTCTTTGAACAACAACAACAACAACAACAACCGTTCAGTCTGAAACCCTCAGCAAACCACCATGATGCAATAATCACTCTGCACAACACAACACAGGCAACATGTCCAAAAGCGACGTTTATAACTTCTGAAAACCCGACAACACGACATGTATATCCCGTTTCACACAGTACATGCTCGGCTCTGAGGAAATGTTAGAGTACCAATGTTAAAACTTCTCTCTTTTGTTTCTTTTTAAGTTTTTTACACTATTATTTCTGTCACTTTTCACTTGAATGCAATACTAAGAATGTATCTCCATTCTCTAACGGCAAGGCAAGTTTATTTATATAGCACCTGTAGATGTTTTGATTTTGTTTATTAAATATCCTTACAACTATATTGCTTCAACATGGACTTTCTTTTCGAAAACGCGTCACAGTTTAAAGCCAAGTTTAGCCTCTCGGCGACTCAAATGTAACTGGGGATTGAGCCGCCACATTAAGTCAACAGAAAAAATGACAGCACAAGCTCACCCTCTGTCATGTGCACTCGACATCAAACAGGTGACTTATAAACCAAACCACACCCATGTGACAATTACCGGAAGTGCTCAACAAGCAAATAAAGGTGACGTAAATAATAATGATAATATAAATAATGAACTTGAGCTAAGTAGTGTTATGGCACCTACAGCACCTTTCAACACAAGGCAATTCAAGGTGTCAAAGTCAAATTCCATCCAAATATATGAGTGTTTCTCAACAAAACATTTAGAAAATCTGCTAAATATATGCGTTTAAAGGTGAATTAAAACGCACCTCATTACATTTTAGTCTGCCACCGTGTTAAATAAACGATTTATTTACAAGCGGCCCGTCCACACTACAGCTTCGACAGCTTCAAAAACGGTTTCCAACGCGTCTGCCCATTCACTTTGAATGGGGTGACGTAACTTTTCGCCGAACTGCATTGTGGGAAGCAGAGCGGAGCTTTCCTGGCGTTTCAGGCTGCACAAGTTGAGCAATGTTCAACTTTTGAAGCTTCTGAAGCTTTCGGTGGAAGCGTCAGCCAATCAAATCACATGCCAGTACAAGCTCTAGCCAATCAAACCGCTGCTTGTGTGTCAGGGGCGGGAGATTCATGTGATTGGTTGTTGGTCGAGCTTCAGACACGCCCAGCTCCAAGCTTTTTTTGAAGCTGTAGTGTGGACGGGCCGACTTGATGATTTGCAGATGGTCAGGCTGAAAAGACATACCTTACTCTTTACACTAAAAAAGCATTAATGTAAATCATAATCAAAATTGCAAATTGAGCTGGAATTTCTTTGATTTGAAATCTGGCTGATGAAAATCAATATACTATTCCCAATGTTCGTTTATTAGCTTGTAGTAATTTCACTGGTCTATTATTGGAAAATGATGTACTAATGATTCAAAGTCTACAGGCAGCACTTCAGAAACAAAGCATGCCCTAAAAAGACCAAACACACACAACACTCAGCAGAGAGGATACTAACTTTGGAGGAGCCGGGGAGAAAACCTTCGTTTGAGCGAAGAAACAGAAGAAAGGAGAAGATTTAGTCATTTAAAAAAATCACATTTCAAGGTTTGTTGTGTTGTGACGGCAGGACTTCCCCTAAAGAGAGAGAGGAGGAAATAAAGGTCAAGAGGTGAATCCCATAATGAAGCTCAGGAGACGCACACTTCCTCCTGCCCGGTGATCTGCTAGAGAGAAAGTAGTTCCTGGCTCACAACAAGGTCTGTAGATTCATTTGTGGAGCTCATTTGAAATACTCTATATACTGCTGGGTAGTTTAATGTGTGTATTACAGAGGCATAAGGGGGAAATGGGAACGCATATTTACTAATTTAGCCATTTTAGAATAAAGGTGAGATGTTGGGAATAGTTTTTCTCAACTAAATATATAGAAATCTTCCACCCAACATTTCCCCTTAATTCCAGCCCCTTTTCTCTTCAGTACTCTGTATTATTTTTGTTTTAATAACGTGTATCAGATACATTTTATAGTGGAGTAGAAGCATAAAGTAGCCGGAAATGGAAAGTAAATACCATAAACATTTATAAACAATTTTATGATATAAAATAATATGTAATATAGGGACGGAGTGGCGCAGTGGGCTGTGCGTTGATCATCAGATCAAGGGTGGCGTTGGGGAACTCCAGTTCGAAACCCTTGGGCAAGACACTTCACCCGAATTTGCTCTTATGTGTGTAATGTGTACTTGTAAAGCGCCTTGATGAATTTGAGGTGTGAAGATGGGCGGAGTGGCGCAGTGGGCTTGGTCATCAGATCAAGTTGGGGAACACCAGTCTGTAAAGCCGTCGTGTCCTTGAGCAAGACACTTCACCTGAATTTGCTCCTGTGGGTATTGTCCACAGTACATGACCGTTACATGTATGATATGTGTGTAATGTGTATTTGTAAAGTGCTAATAAATGTAAGGAATTATTATTATTATGATACTCAGTTTCATCCCATGTTTTGTTTTTGTGCGACTTTTAAGACTCTGAATGTTCTGATGCACCCATTTTTCTCCTTCTTCTCGGGGTCAAGGGTCAGCAGAGGGTAAGAGGAGTCAGGTATTAATCTACCATCACGGTGAGATATTTCTCCGACAGTCTCAGGTGTGAGGTGTTGGTCAACATGGCGGGAAAACGCTACTCAAAGGAAGCCATGTTTTCCTCCTCTGCGACTCTACGTACCCGGCAGGCAGCCCGGCCTGAATGGCGGCCATCTCCCTCAGAGTCTCCTCTGAGTACAGGCCGATGGGGTTGTTATACTGCTTCCTCTGGGTGGGGCTCGCCGCCGCACCCCCGCCCGGAGAGTCTGCCCCCGCAGGCCCGGGGGAGGCACTGCAGGCCGACAGGTGGCCATTCACCTGAGGCTCCAGGGGTAACAACAGCTATCAATACCTGGTGTCTTATAGATATTGTTAGAGCCAGTATTTTGTTTTCTAAAAAAGGCCACCTCATTAGGCGCTTTCACACCGGAGTACTTTTCCCAGTATAGTTCCGATAGTTCTTGAAATGTTGCGTTCACACCAAAAAAATCCGGAACTAGAATTTAGTTCATGGGAACCTTTTCACCCCCTTTTTAGTCCCTGCTAGAGAGCAGGTACTTTCATGGGAGACAAAGGTTCCCATTTCTGATTGGCTGGGCGGATTGCAAACCACGGCCCGTAAAAAACTTTTGTGAAGCCGCCATTGTATTTGCTGGCATTAGCATTATTAGCATTCTCCCAGCGCACCAACGGAGAGAGACTAACTTATGGCAACACAAAATAAAACATGGGAGCGGTGGAGATGTCGGCGTTCTGGCGATTTACTCGGAAGGCTTCAGTAGAAGCTGCTGGGAGTCCCAGCAGCTTCTACTGAAGCCAGTCCCCAACTCCGGGGACTTCCGGCCGGCAGTATACGCCGTGAAGTTGTTTGCGGCCTGCCAGTAAACCCAAAGCAGAAGAAGAAGTGACGTCAGCGGCTTCATTTGCGTAATCTTCCCTCAGGGAACTTATTTTTGGTGTGAACGCGATCTGCTCTTTAGTTCCGGGAACTAAAGAGTTCCAATGAACTAAGTACTGGGAACTAAGTACGACAAAGTACTTGGTGTGAAAGCGCCTATTGTGACGTCTGTAGTCAACACACTTTAAAAGACTACAATTCCCACGGCGCCTCCTCTAAAGTGACAGTGATGGGCAGCAACCTGCTAGAAAGAGGCCGTAGAGGAACAGTTTTTAACTGTCCAATTACCCTTTAAGTTATTAAGTTATATAAGCCTTATCAAGACAGAAAGAATACCCAAGTTGTGTGTTATTTTATTTGAGTTTTGCCTATTTGTTTTGAATACTGTAAAGGCCTCTTTTCTTTGTTGCAGGTGTACAAGTTTGTTATTTTATTTTGAGCAAACACATCACATAGAGCCAAGCAACCCTTCAACTGTAAGTAAAGTCAAATGGAAGAAAACGAGTTAAAAATGTCTGTTTAAGGCGTTAAAAGTCTGTTTAAAGTGGCTTGAAAGAAAAACAAGGAAGGAAGCCACGACAGGTATATTACACTGTTGTTGAAATGTCCTTTTGTGATCATCAGTACCTCTGCTACCTTTGTCTTCCCACTAAATATGTTAATTACTTTAAAGATGATCATTTATCTGAGTTAAGTACTCCTTTATTAATGTTTTAATTTTCTAAAAATGATACGTTTTACTGCTTTCAAGTCGTATCTTCCTTTGGCCACCAGGAGGCGACATCACATCATAATGAACCAGTAGTTTGATTTTGTGTGTGTCGGTATGTGTGTCCTTATAAAGCAGCAGTGTGTTTTCTTTTGGCAGAGCAGAACATACATAGAGAGAAATACATGTTTTTATATTTGTTAAGCAGTAAAGAAACACTTAGGAAGAAAAAAGAACATCTTAAAAACATGAAAGGAAAATATAACGCTAATTTTTAAACATAAACTGAATGGATTCCTACATCAGTTTTATATCTTAATATCTCAGGTGCATTTGTGGATGTGCAGCTGTGTGCAGCAGCAGAAATGCATTATGGGTAAAGGTACCTGTTGTTGAGGGATTATGGGAAAGGCGCTCGGTATCGGCATCGCAACGTTACGCTTCGCCCTGCAGGAAGAAAAACAAACAGAGAGGAGATCATTGACATGTTGAATAACTTCTGATTTACATTAATGTTTTCTAAAAAAGTGCCATGTGTATGTTTTATTTCTAAAAAATAATAAGTTATATCCTCAAGAATTTAGTTTGACTTAAAGGTCACCTATCATGCTATTTTTAGGCAATAGCATAGGTCTCAGATATATAACAATATATAAAAAACATGTCTATGCCATGCCTCATATCCCTCTATTTCACTTCCTGTTTCAAAATTGCTGATTTTGGGAATAAAGCTTTACAAAAAAAGGAGGGGGCTGAGCTCATGCGGGACCCGGCAGCTACTGTCTAAACCACATGGGTCAAACTCAAGGCCCGGGGGCCAAATCAGGCCCTTGGTGGATTTCATTTCGGCCCGCAGGATCATTTCTAATTACTATTAGATCTGGCCCGCCGGTATATTGCACGCACACCTTCACTCCATCCTGAGGGTCTCCTCAGCTCAGAGCCTGAGCCCAAACATTGATGAACTTGCACCCAAGATGAGATGCCAAGTATCTGAACTAGCATCACAGAGCAGCACACTGAGTTTACATGGATGTTTCCTTCTGCACTTTCTCTCTCACGACAACAGGGCATGCTTGGTTTGTTCTTTGAGGGAAATAGTTTTGTTGAAGCTGCTGTTGGCCTGTGGAAAAATGTAATCATAAGAAATGACTCTAAGCTGCAGATAGAGCCATAAGAAATTAATGCAACTGATTATTTAATGTTTAATGTTGTTTTTATAGGCAATAATTTAAGCTTTGTTAGTTCCAGGTTTAATATGTGCAATAAGTTCATTTCAATACGTTTTGCAATAAACATTTAACCAGTCCGGCACTCCACTAGTACCCATTTTTTAATGTTGGCCCACTGTGTATTTGAGTTTGACCCCCCTGAGAGTAGCGTTCACAAAAAGAGACGAACATTAAAAAAGAGACATTCATTACAGGAATAATTAACAGTAATTATTACGCTAGAAACGACATCATTCTTCTTACATCATAGTAAGTAAAATAGACTGACTAGATAATTGAACAATCAATAATTTCTGTCTTTTTTGTCTTGTTTTCTTGCGTTATGGACATTCTTGAGGGGAGAGGAAGGAATTGATGCTGTATATGGAAACATTTGAACTTTTAATAACATGGTGTAAAAAGAACAAAAACACTGTTACCTGTAAAACTTTACCTACCTAATATTCTTGACTACATATAAAATAATAAACCATTAACCAGCCTCACACCCCAGACTTCTATGAAGGGTCTGAAAAGTATTATTTGTATTTGTCGAACTGAAGCTGAGATGCAAATACTCCATGTTTGACAGACACAACCGGCTTATAATCACAGGTTTGTTTCAAGGTTCAAGGTTAGTTTATTTGTATAGCACATTTTAAGAAGACACAGAGGCAAACAACACAAGATGAGAAAACTCCTCATCTTCATCCCTTTTTCTTATCTTCAACCCCCCCGAGGGTCTGCTGTTATGAGACATTAATTTCCTCCCAGAGTTTATCAGATGTCTGTCAGACACCTTCAGGGATGGCACAAAGTCTTTTCCCATCGTGTACCCTGCAGCATGTTCCCAGAAATTGCAGAACAACCCTCCGTGCTAAGTTTATTTTCAGAGCAGGGGGGGAATGTGACTAAGTATATTTAATTCCCTACATTTAGCTCACAACTTTAGTAACTCTTCAGTAAAGATTTTGCATTTAAAAGTTAAACTATTGGCATCTTTCAGAATTCCCAGTGGAATAACTGATTGAGGTACAAAAAGTAAAACATTACTATGTAACAACTCACGCTTCTATTGGCTAGCGCTCCAACACATTGTACGTGATAGGCAAAGGGGCGGGACATCTCAAATCCCCCCCCACCCTGAAACACCTCCATTGGATTCCTTTGTTTACTTAGTGACATCACTATGTAGGCTATAGGCTAAGGGGCGGGACATCTCTAAGCGGTTGAACAATCACAACAGAGTCGGCCAGCTAACCAATCAGAGCAGACTGGGCTCTGGTTTCAGACAGAGGGTGAAAAGAGGTGCTGCAGCACAGGCAGTATGAGAACAATAAAGAGCTTTTTCAACATTAAAGCATGGAGACAGGTCACAATATTATATTATATTTTATTCGTATGTACTTGCACTATTTTATCTGTGTTATTGTGTTGCACTGTTGGAGGAGGAGCCTGTGACCTAAGATTTGCATTGTCATAACTACACTGTAGCTATGCACACATGACAATAAAAGCCTTGAATCTTGAATCAGTAGAGACACTAAATACAATTATGAACCTGAAAATGAGCACAGCTAAGAAGATAAAAGGTTAGTTTTAGTCTTTGGTTCCTTACTTGGTCATGGTGAGTGCCAGGTTGTAGTTGGCCATCTTGATCTTATTCTGCGCCTCCAGGTGGGTCATCCCGTCCGTGCCGACCCCATCGATGGCCACGATCACGTCGCCCTGCACCAGGTTACCCTGCGCCGACTTGCTGCCCGGCGTGATCTGAACACAAAGACAAACACTGTCAGAACAAATGTTTGCTCCAAGAATCTTTAAAGGTCCCCTATTATACTGTTTTTCATAAATGTATTATAGGTGTCAGATATATACAGAATATGTCTCTGAAGTGTTTGGCTCCAAACACCAAACAGATCATTGCAGCATTACCCATAATCCCCTCTGTTTCAGCCCTGTTTCCAAAGTGCTGATTATCTGTCTGTACTTTAGATGAAAATAAGGAGCCCTTCCCCACGCCCCTCTGAGAGATTTGGTTACAAAGAACAATGGTGCTCTAGAGGAGATTCAGGTGAACAGGTGGGGGGGGGGGGGGGGTTACCTTGGTTGCTGATTGGCTAATGGTTACACAAGACAAAACATCGTTATTACATCATAAAGTGGCCAAAATCTGATCAGCTCATTTTCAGACAGGTTTTTATAGAAATGGATCAAAAAGTGAGAGAATCTTTGTTCCTGAAACTTTCAGAGTCTCTTTACACAGAGGGGACACATGTTGATGGTAGAGAGACATGAAGAAGAGGGGGACACATGTTGATGTAGAAGAGACATGAAGAAGAGGGGACACATGGGACACATGTTGATATAGAAGAGACATGAAGAAGAGGGGACACATGTTGATGTAGAAGAGACATGAAGAAGAGGGGACACATGTTTGATGTAGAAGAGACATGAAGAAGAGGGGACACATGTTGATGTAGAAGAGACATGAAGAAGAGGGGACACATGTTGATGTAGAAGAGACATGAAGAAGAGGGGACACATGTTGATGTAGAAGAGACATGAAGAAGATTGACATGTTGATGTAGAAGAGACATGAAGAAGAAGGGACACATGTTGATGTAGAAGAGACATGAAGAAGAGGGGACACATGTTGATGTAGAAGAGACATGAAGAGACGAGGGGACACATGTTGATGTAGAAGAGACATGAAGAAGAGGGGACACAAGTTGATTGATTAGAAGAGGATGTGAAGGAAGGGAGGGGACACTGGTTGATGTAGAAGAGACATGAAGAAGAGGGGACACATGTTGATGTAGAAGAGACATGGAAGAAGAGGGGACACATGTTGATGTAGAAGAGAGCATGAAAGAAGAGGGGACACATGTTGATGTAGAAGAGACATGAAGAAGAAGGGGACACATGTTTGATGTAGAAGAGATGTGAAGAAGAGGGGACACATGTTGATGTAGAAGAGACATGAAGAAGAGGGGACACATGTTGATGTAGAAGAGACATGGAGAAGAGGGGACACATGTTGATGTAGAAGAGACATGAAGAAGAAGGGACACATGTTGATGTAGAAGAGACATGAAGAAGAGGGGACACATGTTGATGTAGAAGAGACATGAAGAAGAGGGGACACATGTTGATGTAGAAGAGACATGGAGAAGAGGGGACACATGTTGATGTAGAAGAGACATGAAGAAGAAGGGACACATGTTGATGTAGAAGAGACATGAAGAAGAGGGGACACATGTTGATGTAGAAGAGACAAGAAGAAGAGGGGACACATGTTGATGTAGAAGAGACATGGAGAAGAGGGGGACACATGTTGATGTAGAAGAGACATGAAGAAGAGGGGACACATGTTGATGTAGAAGAGACGTGAAGAAGAGGGGACACATGTTGATGTAGAGGAGACATGAAAAAGTGGATTTTGCATGATAGGTGACCTTTAAAGAAATAAATAAACAATTATTTTAGAGATGTCCTGTATCTATGTTCAGGTCACATCATACCCCAATCTGCATATTTAATCACTTGATAACACAAAACTTATAGGATCACCAAGAACAAGTCTTCAAAAAAAGTCCAGTCATTCAACAATAAAGTCAAATTATAGGTAAACATGTCCTTATTTTTGTGGCATCTTATTTCAGAGGTATCCTGATTACAGGTTCAGGTCACTCCAATTTGCATCTCTCATCAACTTAATAACGAATAAGCTTCAGTGAAAAGGTTCACAGATTTCCATGAAACACTCAAATGAAAGCAGAATGAATCAATAACTTAAATGATTAATGTGTTCGTGTCCTTAATCTGAAAATCCACCCCTGGAGTGATGTTCACGACACAGTTCCCCAACAAAAAGAGTCAACAGTTTGTATACCATGTGACACATTTTTCATGAATTGCATCCGTAATTTCAGAGTTGCAAATATAGTAGTTCAAAAATAAGAATTAACTTTAATTAAAGCACCTTTTAAACAGAGTTACAAAGGGACGTCACATTGATAGAACACATTTAATACATGGAACAAACAGAAAATTAAAACGAGCAACAAACATTTTACAAAACACAGAGACCAAAAGAGAAGGTAATAAAAATGTGAAAGCCACTCTTAGGAAGTGAGGTTATAAAAGTGATTTAAAAGACCAGACAGAGCCCAGATCTCCTCCATAGAAATGCTTACATAAGATAAAGATAAGTAAACAATTAACAGGTCAATATCTCATTCATTCTGCAGGTATTTGGTATTTCAAGGCACAGTATTGGACATATTAAAACGTTTAAAAATTAATCCCGAGGAGAACATTAACTTTTACATTTGCACTCTGCACAGGAACACTCGCTACAGGAATTTCCCTCTACAGTTTTATCTTATCTCATGAATGTCTGTCCAACATTTCATCACAATCCCTCAACTAGCTGCTGAGATATTTCGGTCTACCAAAGAGTGTGCAGACAGTTCAGACGGCATGCCGCTAGTGTGGCTAAAAATAGTGAAAGCTGGGATTTAGGTGAACAATGACCGGAGAATAAAAGTCATGAGCGGGAACTTTGAGGCTTATGTTCCATGACATGTCTTTTTCAGACCAGTGGAAATAAAACATAATCCACATTTAGGAGTTTATTCTAATAACTCTATTTGTGTCTGTAGAGTTCTCCTAAATATACCAAAAGTAAGCCTTAATGCCTTATTTGCATTTTTAAACATAACATTTCAGAAAACTTCAAAAAAGAATTGTCTGTAGCTTCATGGTGATATTGCCTACTGTATGTTAGTTAAAATGTTACCCTATTCATAAACTAAATAATCTGCATTTATTTCATTTAAAGTGAACTTCTGTTCTGTTAGTTGGCATACAGTAGGGGTCATAAAAAACAGCTGGGAAACACGAGATGATCGCGGGATTAAACAAAAAAAGCTGCAGCTGAGATCTAGATGACACACACACACACGTTAAATGACACTATGACTCATCTGGCTGACATTTCCAAAGGATGCAGGTAATGTGGCATGAATGAAATGCGCCCCCTGGAGACGAGCAGTTAGCTGTTAGCCGTTAGCTGCTAGCCGTTAGCTGTTGGCAGTTAGCCGTTAGCTGTTGGCAGTTAGCAGGTAGCAGCAGACAGGCTCACACGCTGCTCAGTTTACGTTCACCTCCGTTTTTTAAAGCTCCTGCACACCAAGGACCGAATTAAACTTAGCAAAGCTAACTAGTAAAGGGCCGTGGGCTCTAGTAATTGACGAAATGTAGCAACTCTAAAACACAGCACTAAAGAGGGTGATTATTAAACTGTACATTTTAAGAACATCTGCAGCTGTCACTGTACAATAACAGTCCTAAATATCTTAAAAATAAACAAAAACAAGGACCTTTTAAAAGCCAAATCATATTAACAAGTGCAGCTTTTATCTTGAGGTAATTGATTTTAAATATTACATGTGGTCCCTTTGCTGAAGCTTCATGGCTCACCTAAGATCAGTTCACCTTTCTCACAATGTGCACACTGAACGCTTTGAGTTAAAAATATTTAATCTTTTCAGAAAAATGCTGGTTACATTCCTGTAGTAATTAGAAGATTGTTTGTGGCTGTGTCTGTGTATCCTGATCTCAATATGTCAGACAGACACTATCATAACAAAGACCGAAAATTGTGGAGTCCTATTTTTATATAACATTACAAGACTGATTCTTATTATTACATGATATGGTTATTGTGCTCATGAGATTGCTATGACTATAGAATAAATAGACACAATCACTAATCCCAGGTTCTGATGGGTTAGATACCAATGAGGGGAATAGTCAGAAGAAAGTTTTAGCTTGCAATAGAAAGTAGCAGAAGCCAGATGCAGGCACTGTAGGAACAATTAGTTACTGAGGCTATGGCCTTGGCCGCCTGGGTTAGCTCCGTGCCCACGCATAGCTGGGAATCAGTATAACCAAGATTCCACTTTTCTGTAGAAGCTTCCTCAAAACAAATTACGTATGATGGTGCCAGAATAGGGAGGGACTTCCACAGGCCGGCCGAATGCTGATTGGAGGATCGTGTTGCCAAGAGACTCTATCTGAGTCTGCGCACCAACCAAAGAGAACCAAGTCTAAACTGTGGTATCTCTTCAGCTAGTCTTGACCAATCATAAATGTACGGGCAACGCCATGTGTAATAAAATGTATTGTCGCACGAGGTTCGAGGCTCTTGACGGATTTGGTGGTTACAGATTACAGCTTTGCTGCCTGTGATTCCCAAAGACGTGATGAGTCCTTGGCCAAGTGAATATATATTTTGCTCTCTTTACAATAAATAGTTAAACTTAGAAGTTGTCTGTCTTTTCTGGAATTCTGAACCCAACAAAATCCCATTTGTTTCAGCAGATTTGCCGGGCAGATAATGAATGTTGCTGCCAGTGAGTGTTTTACTTTTCGTTACTCTTCTTCAAGGTGAAAAACATAGTTAAAACCAACAGAGACACACAAACTGATAATATAAAGCAAAGGGGTGATGCTAGTCTGTCGAACAGTGACAGTGAGAGTTGTTTTGCACAATTTTATAAATGCCCTACAAGGACATGCAACCCTCACATACATTAACCACTTATAAATGTCATACCAATAGTATTAAGACAAAGGAATATCATTTTGTTTTTAAATAAGAAAAAAGTACTATAACTCTGCACCGCGTTAAGCCTCCCGTTTGCTGACACCATGTTATTTTCTGATCACCAGCAACTGGATGAAAGTGAACTAATGTTTGC